GTTCTAGCCAGCATTCATCTTTAAATCTTATGTCATTTGATGGAATTTTAATGCTGAAAACGGACAAATAATTGCCAAATCTGTCATCTTTGGTGGATAAAAATTGGCGTGCAATTGAAGACATTGAGTTGTATATAGATGTCATTAAGCTAAGCTTACTCTTCCAGCAAAATTTGTCCCTCAAAATGCAGAAAATACATGTAGCACTTCAGAGGGGCAAGATTGTCCTAGGCATTGTTGCCTCTCTGGCATGAAGCATCGCATCTTCAGTCCTTGACACAATGTTACAATTACATCAAACGAAATTGAGATGACGGAAAAAAAATGTCAGGCTAGCTAGAGAACACTTGTCCCTGTTTTTTCCAAAACACCTGTATAAGCAGTCACAGTCTTAAGTTTCTAACATGAGGAAATGAGCCATTTCATACTACATCCGACACTTCTGACCTCACCTACCTCTCATTGCCATGGCAACAGGCTGTGCTTGATAGGCAGTTGCTATGGCAACAGGCCGTGCTTGGCGGACAGTATTCAGGCTCAGCGTCCTTGCTTGACTGCTCTGAGGGGATCAGACCGTGACCATACCTGTGTGTGTGTGGTGATCCTCCCCCAGTGGTTTGTTAGTAGTGCTCCAGTGATTGTGAAATGCACTGTTGGGCCTGTATACACATATATAGTCTGGATGCCAGACCCCCTATAGCTAGCCACTGGTTATCAAAGAGACCCAACAAGATACAACCTCTGCCAGGCTGACACAATACTCCCTTTGATTCACTGCCAGGGAATAAAGCCACAAGCTCCCACCCCAGCATCTAATTTATCTCTCTACAGTTTCTAACTGAGGGGAGTCTATGGCAAAAATTCAGATTGGTCCTGGAGCCCAGAAGCTAGCCTGTTTACTAGCCCTGGCAACAGTCTGGCACCGAGGCTAGCCCTAACCCTGGAGCCAGTGAGCTAGCCTGTATACTGGCACTGACAACAGTCTGGCACCCAGGCTAGTATACACACTGATCCTCCCCATACCAGCTGCTTGAATGCTTCACTAGACACCAGACTCCTTGACATAATGATCCTCCCCCAACTGTCCTGCTTGAATGCATCACTAGACACACCAGTCTTGTTGACGTAGTGATTCTCCCCCAGCTGTTAGTAATCAGATCAAGCTCACTACTTCAAGATACCAGGAAGTCGTGACTGGAGAAGACCACAGCCATTCAAAGACAAACCTCTGGAAGTTTTAGTCAGTTTCTGCTGTACAATCAACTTTGTCTTCACAAGGAAAAGTTTTGTGCTGTCAACAGGCAAGTTTATGCCTGTATATGCAAGTATAGACAGAGAAGAGGACAGGGAATCTTCAGGCACAAGGGTTGGAAACTTATGCATCTTGTTGAAGCCTGTACTTCTATGCTACACTGGGCAAAGCTGCCCTGGCAGTTCCAAGAAATTTAAAGTTGTGGCTGGCATTCAGAGGAATCTAAGGTGAGAAAAACAGCCTAGGAGTGTCTCTCACAGTCTCCTTTTGTCTCAGAAAGTGATGATTTGATGACAGTTGGCACAATTCAAACTGTTGACATCTTCAATCTGAGATCCCATGCTGTTGTGGGGCACTGGAGGCTACACTGGGGTTTTCTACAGCTACTGTATGTGATACTGGCTCAGTATATATGGCTGTGCAACCTTGAACATGGCATTTATAGCTGGACAGAGTCCTATTTTAAGCTGGACACTCTAGCCAACATCTATCCCTAGAACAGCAGTGAAGGCCCAAAGGATGTGGACTGCTTCCAGCTGTAGCAACAAAAGTACTTTACCAGGACTTGTTTTCACAACAAACAAGCTGATGGCATGGTGAATTTTTATGAGTAGAGGATTTTTTTTTTTAGTAGGGGAATTTGGACATTCCGATTGCCTGAAGTCTTTCAAAGTTATTCACAACTGTTGTGGCAACCAGGGGACCACTACGCTACATTTGATATCAAGAACGAGGATATAACTCAGAAAATAAAAGGAAGTCGGCAAATGCATGCAGTTGACGCAATGAAGAACAAAAAAGTGCAGACATCACAGTTCCAGAGCATTACGCTAATTTGCAGTTCTGTATAACTGTCAGAAATTCGTGACAACTTTTCCGAGAAACTTCCGGAATAAAAACGTGAGTCGGACTACTAATACTATACAAGCTGACATACCAACATACCAGAAATAGTAACTAGTTCAACAATAACAACAAATCAAACAATGGTGGAACTGGGCCAAGCGCTATAGTAGCTTGTCGAGAAATGGACCAGCGAGCACGCTGAATAGCCTGCAGCGCTGAAGCAGGAAAGTTGCATGAAGAATTTCAAAGCTGGTAGTGGAAATTACCTTCGCAAAAAAAAACAACTGTCAACTGCAACTGTTGATTGATTATTTTTTCCTTTGAGTTCAATTTTCCAACTTCTTGATATGTCACATTATGTGTTCCTTGCTGAAGGTTTGAAATTTTGGAACCGACAAGATTCTAGATCCTTCTCCAGAGTTGTGAAGAGCATTGGTGTCTGAGTACAGGACCACATTTCAAGTCGAAATTACCATGGCAAAAAACAACAACGTCTGTCTACAAGTCATTGCTCAATGATTTTTCTCCTTCAATATTCCAACTTCCGAGAAATACTGTCCCTAGCTGATGGTGTGAAATTTTGGAAGCTTCTACTGATCTTCCTTCAGACTGCAGCTGAGTTGTGAGAAGACTACTGGTGTCTGAAGACAGGATCATGTTTCAAACTGACCCTGAGTAAACCATGACGGACCTCCAGTCATCCCATCCGCCCTGGAGTCAGGTTTCTAACTGAAGTGCAAACACATGGACTGGAGGGTGACAGACATTTGTGACTTCTCTTGAACCACAAGCAGGAGCAAGGCTGGCAAGACTGTTGTGGAATTTCTGTTCTGTGTTGTGAGGAAAGGTTTGGAACCAAACAACAACTACCCTGAACAGCTGAGCTGCTGAACAAGAAGACACTGGCCTCAAAAGCTAAGGCCTGACAGATATCGTGACTCCTCTTGAACCACAGAAGCTCTCGGCTCAGGCCAAGACTGGCATGGAATTTCTAGCTGCTGTTCTGTGAGAAAGGTTTGTGACTGAACAACAACTGCGCATGCCAGCTGAGCTGTTAAACAAGAAGAAGAAGACAGGCTACTATTTCTAAAGACAGGCCAAAGCCTGACAGAAATTTGTGACTGAGGACCTCTTGAACCAAAGAAGCTCTAGGCTCAGGCCAAGACTGTCATGGAATTTCTGTTCTGTGCTGTGTTGTGAGGAAAAGTTTGTGCTGCCTTGAACAGCTGATCTGTTGAACAAGAAGACAGGCCAAAGCCTGAGAGATATTTGACTCCTCTTCAACTGCAGTAGCAAGAGATAGAGTAGGCAAGACTCAGGGCAAGACTGTCATGGAATTTCTGTTTTGTGCTGCGTTGTGAGGAAATGTTTGTAACAAAAACAACTGCCTTGAACAGCTGAGCTGGTGAAGAAGAAGACAGGCCTGACAGATATATGACCCCCTTCTCCTCAACCACAGTATCAAGACTGTTGAAACAGTTGTGCTTCTGTGCTGCTGTGTTGGGAGGAAAATAATAGCGACTGCCTACAACAGCTGAGTGAGTGAAAAGAAGAATTGAATTTAGGCTGAACTGGAGACCTGCCTGCAGTACTGATGGTCTATGTCTGACAACTGCTGGGATCCACTGATTCAAGAGGTAAGCCTTATCAATTTTCTTTTTGGTAGTTACATATACATGTAAAATATATTAATACATAGTATAGTTGACATGAATTTTTTGCAAGGCTGCAACATGTTATGACCGAAATTGTTGACTGACTGGGTCACAGGGTGTGTATAATGCTTTATAATGTATACATGCATGTGTGTGTGTACTGTGTGTGTTTGTGTGTGTTTGCTTGTGTGTGTAGATGTTTGTATATGTAACATTATCGTATGTTTGCTTGTGTGTGTCTATGTGTTTGTATGTGTGCCTGTGTGTGTTTAACTTTTAATGACACATGTACATTAGTCCGAAGTCTGATAAAGGTTCAAACTTTAGATGTAAAACGCCGGATTGAACCCTTTTTTTAAAAGGCTTCTTGGCGATGACCAACTGGTTCGTATTGAATATGAAGGTCAGTCATGCTGTGGCTAGGTCAGTAAAAACAGACTGTTGATCCAATACACATGTTTCTGTCACCCCAACAAACAAAACATGTGGACAAACGTGTCATGGTGTCCTCTTCAGTCTACAGTCATTATATTATGCACTTGTCAATACAAAGCCAGGGGGGTTAGGGTTACATACCACATATATAGTGGGGAGGGTTGGTATTACATAATTTTTTTTTAGTTGCCCATTCATAAGTCAGGAATTTGCACTATGTCAAGAACAATTGGTCTATCTTAAGTTGTGGACACAGAATTGTTGAATGTTTGCTGTTACAGAGATCAATAGATTTAATATGTTGACTTAAGTCCTCCCTTTAAACATCTGCCACACCCACTTGAGATAAAACAAAAAACGTAGACACTCAATTAAGACAATATATGTCTTTCTTTTTTATTTAAGGCTAGAGAAGCAATAAATGGCTTTGACTTTTGCTCTTTCCTTCCCCCTCTCCAATTTTTTTTGACACAGCAGCCTATTTGAATTATTTCTCCAACAGGTTTGTGTCCCACCTTAGTTTCAGTTACTGTAGAATAAAGTTACTATTGCAGGAAGATAATTTCATGTTAGGAGGGAAAGGAAATTTACATTGTACGTGGTGTCTTGAAGGGTAAAAAGATTATGTGGTGGAAAGGCATACAGAATTACAATTGTCACGACTTCGCAGAAGAGAGGATATTACGCACCGAAAGTAAACCACTGTCAACATTCACACACACAACTTTTACGGTACAGTGGGTACAACAAAACCCACTGTTTGTTTTTGGAGTCCAAAGGTAACTGCAGGAGTTTTGGGGAGTTTCCACTGTACTGTGGTGCACCACACGTGAGCACTAACTGATCAGTTCCATATGTGAAGTTCGGCTTGTGGCTTCACCTGACCAAAGGGAATTTTATGCTGCACCAGGCATCTGGTATCCAGGCTACAACAGCCTTGGAGGGTCTTGGAGTGTTCTGTCTGATTTGTTCAGCACAGGGCTATCCTTAGGCAGTGGCTCAATTGATGCAGCTGACTTTTCTACTAACAGAAACCACTAGCATATGGTGGGCAGGCTGGCACACTGTTAGCGCTGTAGATAAAACAGGAGCCGCAAAAGTGTTTCACCAGACTGTCCTGTACCCCAATCTCCAAGGAGATCCCTTTCGGAAGTTCCGGTGGCAAGACAGTATGCATTAGCCAGAGAAGGTTGCTGGTCCCCAACGGTTGGTGGGGGTACCAACAAAAAAACGGCCATATATAAAAAGCTAACGATCATTCCCCCACAACCTCTGCTTGGAGAGTACTGTACCCCTGATCACCACCACCATGTTTCCTACAAGAAGAGATGAGAGAGATACAGTTTGGGTCACCCGTGACTGGGAAGAAACACCACATCAGGTAAAACAAACTTGTGTGTCTGTTTAAGCCGTCCATGGAAGCTTGTGTGGTAAGCTCTGTGTCTTGTAAGGAAAACGTCTTTTGCAAATGTAGGACAGAGCTTGCAACAAAATTGTTTTAAGCTCTTTAGCCCTCTTTGTCATAAGTATACCAACATAGATGAACATTCAAGTTTTAAGCTCTGTGTACTGTAGACTGTAGAGAAAACTTTTCTTGCATTGTGATTCGTGAAACAAGAACACATAACAGTAACAGTACATGTGTCTGTCTGTGGTAGACTCTACCAGGCTTTGGAAGCAACTGGAAGAAATAGAAAACAAGAAGCCATAGGTGACAATTCTCCGTGAAGTATTATATATTGCAACAAAAAGAAGTAGCCATTGGCGACAATTCTCTGTGAAGTGTGATAAATCGAACAAAGAAAAATTGTTTAAACGCGCGTCGGCTCAGTCATCTTAAGACGCAACAACCAATCAGAGATGCGAGATGCCTACACGTGACGCGGGAAGGGCGCGCGATGCCCGAAATATTTTTGCGTCAATATTCAGCGCCGTGATTCAAGAGATTAATACCCGGAAACAATTTTTTTCTTGTTTTGAACGCATTAACATGCATTTACGCTAATCTAGTATGATTCAGGGTTACTTTTTTTTAACCTGCCATGGCCAGATTATCTAAAGATGTGTGTATTGTGTGTACAATCTATAGAAAGAGAAATGTACATCAGGTCCGATCATCCGATTTTCACGTTTCGGTTTTTTGGACTCGGTTCATGAACGTATTTTGGTTTGGCTCCTGGAATGTGCGAAAAAAAGGACTCCCGGGACTGTCTACAGGGAACACTTGCACATTCGCGGTGTATCAGGACAGCGCGACTGGTCGTCATTAGCGCAGTAACAGTTGCATAAACGGACGAAACCATTTCAAAGAAATGGGGATGTTTCGAAAATAAGCATTTACTCCAATATCAAAACAGCTACGGTAAAAATAAAAAGACGTGCATCATCCCGGACATAATGCAACACCACATGCGAAATTACACAGAAATGCGACGTACGGAAGAATGCGTTTTGGCTGCGAACATCTTCCAAAAAACTTGGCATCTCTTAACCATGGGCAAAAACATCTGGAACCACTTATAAAAACCACCCCGTATCTGCATGAACTTTTTTGAACCCCACTGCTATTCCAAACAACGCGTTTTTCTGGACCATTCCAATTCGCCTCGTAATTGTAGGGGTGCGTCTGCGATATTACATTGACCGCGAAAGCAGCAACGGCAAAAATACACATTCGTGCATCAACACGGGCATGCCCGCAGACGGCGTATAAAATTGCGTGCCGATTACACAAAGAGAACCCAGTGTTTTGACTGCGAACATGAAAAATCAGCCGATTACAACACTCCGTCCGGAGGTCCTGACCTCCTTCACGGAGTAACAAACGTGTGTCTGTATAAGCTGTACATGCATGGAAGCTTGTGTTGTTAAAGCTCAGTGTCATGTAAGAAAAACTTCTTTCGCATTGTGAAAAGAAGAAACAAGATATTAGGCTTTGAAAGCAGCTAGAAAGATTGGAAAATGTAAAATTTTGTAGACTGTAATCGTAATCATAAAAACAGATGGCAGGGAAGAAAACTTGAATATGACATTTGCTGAATTTACTCCATAAAACCAAGTTCAACCAGGCATAAACTAGGTCTTCAGACTTTGTTATCAAGTTTTTCAAGTTAGAACATACATGTATTTTTCAGAAATGTGAGAACCAACAAATTAAATTGGTGTGTCCTTTTGTGTATTTAATGGTCTATTTGTAGCAGGGATTACAAACACCTTCAAGCAGCTTATTAATTAAAGAGGATTAAAGGGAACCTTGACTTTTTTCCTGGTAGAAATAGGAAAGTAGTGTTTTGGTAGCTTCTACCAGGCTTCAGAAGCGGCTGGAAAGAGTAGAAATTGGCCAGATTGACAGATAACATGTCAGGGGGGTTGGTCAGAACTTGTCTGCTAAAGGAGTATTTGTGGCCTCCTTGAAATACTCCTTTAGCAGACCCTGGCATGTTTTCTGTCAATTTCTACTCTTTCCTGCCACTTCTGAAGCCTGGTAGAGGCTAGCATTTTTACCTTTGTGGGACACAATCTTTAAAAGCTGTTACAATGTTATATCAGTGCTGTCATTAGTTAGAAAGAATAACCAAAAGGTATATTTGAGAAGTCTACATTAGACACATTAGATGGGTTGTGTGTTTCAATAGCATGCACATAAGGACAGGAATGTGTGTACAGAGCTAACACTGTAAGAGAACACCCTAGTGTTTACTGACCTAGTTCTCATCATTGCTTTGAGAAAAGTATGTCACAACTTTTGAGTATAGGGGGCAGGGAAAATTCACTTATGGTACAGACTTTTACTAGACAAATGAAATGATCCCTAGTTAATTCTCTTGCTGGTTGTTTAAGTACGTGTGCCAGGTAGGTGATAATTCTGTTTACGGCTGTACCAATTTAATTTGTTGGTTCTCAGATTTTTGCAAGAAATGATTGAAGTGGGTGACTGAAAACAAGAAGAACAGACATGTAATAGCCCCAAATTTTAAATGATGCAATATTATATAAGAGCCACAAAGTCCAAATACCTGACTGGTTTGTAATTCAAACAATGAGTCTTCAACCTTTAATCTAATCAATACATTGATAACCTGAAAAACTGTAACAACCACAAAGACAAGGACTTTTGTCTTCGTGCCAAAAGTCTCAAACTTATACGAGCATTTGGAGGGTTGACTCAGAACCTGAATACTAAAAAACTACTGTATGAACATGTATATGTCTTTGAACATGTAATACTATATACAATGTATATATATTTCCTTTGAAAAAAAAATGTATTTGAAAACCAACAAATTAAATTGGTATGGACTAAGAAGTGAGCATGGATGGATAAATGTTTTGAACCAGTCTACTTGGTTATAAATTGCATGTTTGTTGTAAGTCGTACGTTGTGCATTAAGACCAGGTATTTAGCGGCCCTGGTGTGTTTGCATATATTGGTGTAGTCAGGTGTTAGACCTGTGTGTCTTTCCCACAAGTCTAGGGACTAACCAGAAGCTGGTATATGGTGGGTGCAGTGTATTTACAAATTTTAATGTAGTTGCAGCTACCGTCTCAAAATTTCTGCACAATTTGTTGTTTGCTGCTTTGCAATCTATTTTTTGAGCTGGCTGTTAATTATATCAGTTTATATGTTACAACTGGGGATTTACAAGATAATAACTTTATTGCACAACACTTGTACAGGGTACAAAGTATGGCATCTACTATACAATGTGTACATGTACATATTGACTACTAGTACACTTATATATGAGACTATGAAAAGTAGAACTACACAGAAAGTATTTCTCGTTTATGTAACTTGTGTACATGTACATGCATGTATGGTTAATATTTATAATCATAATTGCAGGGTAAAAAAAGCTAGCTATAAAACAAAACAGCCCAGTACTAGGCGGTAGCTGATTGTGCCTGAAGTGCATTATGTTTACAAATGCTTCAGTCGTTTCCTTGAACAAGTCATACACATTTTGTGACCAGTATTTTGAAGTGCTGGTACATAATCAAAATCAAACCTGTTGAGGCAATCACTTTTCAAGCCAGCCACCATGGAGAACATATTTTTTTCTCGTTCCTGAAAATTTTTCAGATAAAGCTGGTGTATTACGGGAGCTGGTGTGTTGCCCAGTGAAGGGCGGTTATACCGGCTATACCAATACAGATACAGAAAGCAACGTATCCAGCCAGAAGAAAATGAAGTGGTCAAAATCGAGAAATAATTGATACAATTGGTGTGGCCTAAATAAAGCAAGAAATTCACCAAAACTCTAAATATTTTGAAGAGGTTTGAGATCTCTGATTTCCTCTCCTGGCATGTGCTCAGTAACATCCCTAAGCTGGTTGGATCTGTCTCTTCAGTAGTTAGTAGGGGCGTGATACTCCAGGGCATACCACAAAAGCCTAGGCATTATATATTAGTGCACTATGCACCAGGCAGTGTTCTAGCCTAGCCTGGGTGCCATCCTCTGTAGTTTCCACCCAGTACTCCCTAATGTCAGTGGGCACCACAACTATGGAGGATGGCAGTCCCTGACTAGTTCTAGCCAGCAGCTGCCTTTCCGTCATTTTAAGGGATTTTGCTGCTCATGACAGACAAAAATCAGCGTGTAAAGATATGGAAAGAGATGTTATAATTAAAGTACTACATGTAGGCTTTAAGTCTACCACTAGTACCAGCAAAATTTTCCCCTCAAAATGTAGGAATAGTGTTTCAGAGGGTCAAGATTTCAAAATTTCATGGAGAAGCATACCCTCTGAACTGGATTGTCGCATTTGGTGCTTAACATAGAACGATGACAATGAACTTTTTAACTCCATAACAGCTGCTCTAAGCCAGTTGGATCTGTCTCCTAGTAGTTAGGAGGGGCGGGATATCCTGGGCATACCACACAAGCCTGGGCATTAGTGTGCTATGTACTAGTACGCTGAGTACGCAGGCTGTCTTTCTGTCATTTGACAGGATTTTGCTGCTCATGACAGACAAAAATCAGTCTGTAAAGATATGGAAAGAGATGCCATTAAACTAACCTTTAACAGTTTAAGTCTACCAGCCTGTCTCCTAGTACAGTAGTTATAAGGGGCGTGATACCCCCAGGCATACCACAAAAGCCCAGGCATTAGTGCGCTATGCCACACGTATATATCCGGCACTATATGTCCTTAGAGCTAAACAGTAATGTCGTAATTGATGAGGACCCTGACCCCTCTTGGGCCAGTCGGATGGTACATTCCAGACATTGTAGGAATAACTGTTTCCATTCAGGGCCTTTGAAGAAATTATGTTGATCTAAAATGAGTAGCTTTCATCTCTAGTCCCCTTTCCCAATAGCTGTGGACTGGTCTGTACTTGAAGTTGTCTGTATTTAGGAATTTGGACTTTGGAGGACT